TTTTGACAGTTTATTCTCCAAAAACTTATTTGAAACCTTAAAAGTGTGCTTTTTAATGTGCTTTCTATGAACATAAAATCACTTTTGTAAATGTATTTTGATGCAGACATCTTAACGTCTTTGACCCATATTTATATATATATATATATAATTGTAAAATCATTGTAAAAAGCAGAAAAGATGTTGAGACTGGGAGGGCGTAGATAACCACATCTATCTCATGAATATTAATTAGCTCACACTGACATTTCAGCCTGTCACAATACTTTTCATTCTGATTTTAATTTGAACTTTTATTAATGTTCCACGACTTTTCTTTTCTCCACTCATTTCATTCTTCACTATGCACTGTAATACTAAAGGACTTGTGGGTATGAATAAATAACAGACGATCAGAAACGTAACCAACCAAATATCTTACGTTTCCAATTAAATGTATCCAAAATAACACCAGGGCCACAGATTTCAATCACAAAGCAAGTGCGATGCAGTCTTAGTTCGGTGTGATTCAGCCTGGTCTCCATGAATGTCCTCAGTCTTTCATGGTCTAACAGTTGTGTAGTCGCATGTCTCCTGCCCGTCAGAAGTCCCGTCTGAATGATGAGCCGCTGTAAACTTGATGCTGGAGTAGTTGAGATCGTCCGAGGGGCTGCTGGGTAATTGTGCTAGAGCATAAACAGAGGCTTCATGTTCAGCAAATGCTGGAAGCACCAGACTATAGTCAGGATGATCAAGAGTGCTACTGATGTCTTCATAATCGCAGTCCGCCTGAAGAGAAGAAAAAACACCAGAGTTAGAACAAATGGATAAAGAGTGGAAAATATGACTAATATCCACATACAGACACATGATGCAACTCACTTCTCTAGTTTCTCCCATATCTCCACTGGGCAGATTCTTAGTCGGGCCACGAACCACATCTTTGGGCTGCGTTCCTGTTTTGTGACACCAGATTTTTTGGTTTGTGACAAAAACCTTTTTTTTGAGACGACATGCAGCTCTGTGACACAGAAGTCTGGTTTGACTTTGGAAATGCTGTGATTTACTAAAGCAGATGAGAATAAAAATTATTCTATATCAAGTGAATTGATGTGAGAAAGACAGTCACCTTCTTTCTTTTGCCTCCGTCTTAAGTATATAAACGATGAGAATCCAAACCCTGTCAGTATCCCTATAACTATGACCATCACCATGAAGATTGGTGCTAAACCTTGAAAAACAGACAAACACGTCCAATAAATGACTCGAAATGTCCTATATTTAATGAAACTTGAGAAACAAATGTCTCTGCACACTCTTTGTACCTGGCTGTGGTTTTGGTGACACTGCATTAGGAGATGATGAGAAAAACATTAACACTGAAGATGAAGATGATGATGATGAAGATGTGACGGGTCTGCTGGAGGCAGTATCTGCTGGTGCAGGTTTGCTGCTGTGAAATGAAGCTCTTGTTGTGTTTGGTTTAGATAACGGCCTCTCTGATGTGTCTGAAACTGGGTTTAATGCATGACAGCCCATGCAGTTATTTCCAGATATGATTACAACAAAAACTATTTAAGGAGCTTTTTATATATGTGACCCTGGAGCACAAAAGCAGTGTTAAGTCGCTGGGGGATATTTGTAGCAATAGCCAACAATACATTGTATGGGTCACAATTATACATTTCTCTTTTATGCCAAAAATCATTAGGATATTAAGTAAAGATAATGTTCCATGAAGATATTTTGTAAATATCCTACCGTAAATATATCAAAACTTAATGTTTGATTAGTAATATGCATTGCTAAGAACTTCATTTGAACAACTTTAAAGATGATTTTCTCAATATTTAGATTTTTTTGCACCCTCAGATTCCAGATTTTCAAATAGTTGTATCTCAGCCAAATATTGTCCGATCCTAACAAACCTTACATCAAAAAGTTGTACGGTGCTTATTTATTCAGCTTTCAGATACTGTATACATTTCAATTTCAAAAACTTGACACTTATGACTGGTTTTGTGGTCCAGGGTCACATATTGAGAACACATTTCAGAATAAACACACACAGTTACATGTTTACAGTCGTATTGTAGCAAAAGATCATGTGACACGTTGTACTTCCCCCTGACACAGCTGTTAGTAACGCTTCACTAATATCAAGGGTGTGACGGAAACAGAGAGGCGCATGAGTGACCAGCGATGTGTTTAGCATGAACTTTTACTGTATATTATTCTTTTGTTTTTTATGTCCCTGCACATACTATAAAACCTGCTAATATCATCTTACCAGCAGAAATGTTCAGGTCTATCACTGAAATCCATTTCTTCTGCTTCTTGTGCTTTTGTCTTCTCTGTGCAGCTCCACACCAGTATATCCCAGAATCCTCTTCTCTCAGATCAGT